TCACGTTTGCTGATGCGTGGTCCAACTAATTTTAAAAGATAGTCAAAATCAGTCTTTGACATTCGCAAAAAATTGTCAAGTTGCGAAGGGTCTTCTATTCTCAATTCGGACAACAATGTTTTGTGCATTCCGAGATTACACCGTCTTAGATACCCATTCTCTTGCCCATATTCTCTTTTTTTTCTTAGTTTTTTTCTTAACAAACATAAGACTGTATATGCAGCGGCATATCTAGTTTGTTGGGCAGACATTTTCAATAATAAATGTTCCTCCTCACGAATGCGATGAAATCCTTTTGTACAGACAGAGCAAGAGTTACAATATAAGTGTAAACATACAAGACATATTTTTCGCAAAAAATTTTCTCTCGAGACCAGTTGCTGAAATAATTTGCGAGAAAAAAATGCCGTAGTGTAAACAGTCGGGCAAGTTTATGTAGCAATAAATGTCGCAATATTATTGATAATGTACACGAACCTTTACACACAGAAATAGACAGAAATGATATTCTTCGTTTTCCGTATAAGAATTTATTATAGTGAATGAAACGATTTATTTCAATTTTAAGCCTTGTGGTAGCACCAGACGATATTCAGGACGTCAGGAATGCGTCATGAGGCAGTGCTAATAGGTTCATCGGGGAACTGGCTGAAATAGGCATGTAGTGCCCTTATAACGAATGAGAAGTCTTTTGTTCCACATCCGATGACTTGGAGGACTTGTCACACAAGCCAATCTGAATTTCAAGTTGACAAATGATGACAGCGAAATATTTGCATCAATGCCAGGCCTAAGTTGACCCCTCATGACACAGACGACGATGTTCCATTTTGTTCACCGAGTGCGCGGCGATTGATTTTAGTTTCCCCCACTATGAACCTCGCTCTTGGTGAATACTTATAGTACACATAATGCACACGAATGATGCATATACCATACACGTGATTAAAAAAAAACAGTGCCAGTATTTCTACAGCAGATACTGCAACAAAAAATAACATACGCTCCCCTATGAATTATAAAACCAAAAGACATATTTCCGGTTTCATTCGCTGTCACCACGTGCATCAAATATACGATGTCAGAAAAGAATTTGCTGTTTCCCCAAAATGTAGTGGTAGTTTTTTAACCCTTTCGCGTCGGGAGCCGGTTATATTCGAAAAACAAAGTAGTGTCTTGTATACGGGAAACGTATATTTACGTAGCGACAGAGGCCCCGGTAAACTTCTGGAAACGTGTTGATCAGCATATGTCGGTATTTGATGGTACCAAATACTATGCATACAAGCGAAAATTTTCGCTGGTGGGGGAACATGCATGCAGAGAATTGTCGCACAGGTGGCACCATCAAGACAGGTTGCAGCACGTTTATTTGACCATTATTCTTCGAAGGCGAGTACGGATGCTTTAGTTATTTTACGTTATATTAATCTTCAAAATGTCTCATAGTGACTTAACAAATCAATAGTTGTTAGAAATATTAGAGACTAGCGATTCTGAGGGCGATTTTAATGGCGGCGCCGAGGAATGGGAAAATATCTTATCAAGAAGTTCTAAACGATTGTTGAACAAACTAATACAGGGTGGGAGGTCTTATATGTAACATTTTTTCCTCGAGGGCTAATAAAAAATCCTCAATTTGGTATGTGAATTTACCAGTATTGGCCACATTCAAAAGTCTTTACTTAAATTAACGTGCACCAGTGGCGGAGATACAGGGGGATTAGTGGCATTATTTTCCAAATAAAAATAGTACGCCACTGTTCTTTTCAAAACGCGCATTTTTCGAATCTTACCTTTAATTTACTACAAATAATTACTCTTGTGTTTTTTCCTATAGTTCACTGTTTTCGTAAAATGAAAGTAATACAATTAGATCATTCATCAAGAACCGAGATACCATTAGTTTCAAAATAAATATGAGGCCTTGGTACCAACTTGACGTTTCTTGGGAGATAGTCTGTCAAAGTTATGTGTTGTACGGTTGTTATCGTTACTACTACCATTATTTTTTTTTGTTAAAGTCATGTCAAAAGTTTTTTTGCCATTTTGTATTTTTGAATAACATTTTTTTATGAAAATGTCTTTGTAAGAAATAAAGTTTTTTTTAAAATTATCGCTATCTCATAGAATGCCGATTTGGATCGGGAAATGGATAAATCAGCAAGCGGCGTTTCCCTCGTAAGAACAGACAGATTTCATAACAAGATCCTCCGTTGCGAAAGGATTAATAACGTGAGTACGTTATACAATTTTTAATTTGTTCGGATTTATTGATATATGGTTGTAACACCTAGCTATGTTATATGTTCCGTCGTTAGCAACAAACCCAATGTGTCCGGTCTTTGGTTTTATAATTGTAACAAGTGTTCTCATCCACGCTTTCGTTATAAAACACCATTTAGCTGCAACCTCACCGACGACTCCTGAACATAATTTGGCGAAAGCTCGAGATTATTGTCAAAAGAGTTTATTAAGCTGTAAGTTTTGCCAATTCCCAATAAACAATTTAATTGTATTATATACTGTGCCACCAGCTTATAATGGACTCGGCGATACTGTGACAAATAGTTTATTATAGGCGGATGACCATCTTGATAGAAACACTTTTTTAATGAAAAATGCAGCAGAAATAACATATTAAAGCTTAAAATGTGTTCGTTTACCATGATTTACATAAATAAAGATACATCAAAAAATTTATACGTAATTTTGAAATTTGCATTTTTTCAGAATCTGATACACATATTACAGGCATACGTACTGTGTAGGTATGTGTAAAAACCGTAAATTATTTGGTAGAAAAGCTAGTAATTTTCATCTGAACAGATTGTTTTTTTTTGTATAATTATTTAGACCAGCAAGTTGAATTTTATTTAATTTGGTAAATGTGGCTGTAATGTCTTGTTCTTGCTGAAAATAACGTTGCAACTTTTTCAGCAGTCTAATGCCTCCTTAGTTGTCACTGGAAGCTCTTCTTCATCGTTGCTTTCTAGTTCGTTTCCTGTTCGTTATCAATGGATCCTTCATTAACCAAATTAGTCATCAACATATGTTTCCGATACATTTGTTTAAGATTCCAAATGACACCCTGGTCCATTGGTTGCAGAACTGATGTCACACTGGGTGGAAAAAGTTGAAGGTTGATGTTATTAAGTGAAATATTTGGATGACCGGGGCAGTTATCGACCAAGAGCAAAATTTTGCGATTTTTCTTGACAAGTTCAGCGTCCCACTTTTGTAAATATTCTTCAAAAATGATGAAGTCATCGAAGCTTTATTATTTCCAACATAATCGACGGGAATTGTTTTAACATTTTTGAAACACCTGGGGCCCTTAAATTTCCCTGCAATAAAAAAAGGTCATAAATTCTTTGCAGCACTGCCATTGAATATCAAAAAAATTAGAACATGCATTTTTATTCATTCACTTACCTATTATCAATAGTTTCCGTTTTTCAGTACCTCCATTGTAAGTTTCACATTTTAATTTAAAAGTTTTATCTGGTAGCTTTCTATAAAATATCCCGGTTTCATCTGCATTGAATATGTTATCATCTGAATAATCACTGGATATAGCGGGCCAAACTTGAGAAATGTTATGTCTCCTCTTAAACCTGTCTAGACAACCGGAACTACATTTGAAGTAATCTCCAATCAATTTACCAAATTCTTCAGCCTTTATTTGTAGCATAGGTCCACTTATTGGAAAATGATTAGCACGCTTTTGTTGAAACCATTTAAACAGCATATTATCGACTTGGGTATGCATTTTTGTCTTTTGACTACTTGATTTCCAATCATTTTTAATTTTGTTACAGTTTTTCCACATATTTGACACAGTGGATTTTTTATAGCCATACGATCACATATATTTGCTTCAGATGAACCCAGCTCAAGCTCACTAATTATTGTGAACTCAGGCAGCAGCGGTGGCCGCAGTAGTAGACTCTTCGATCTCCTGATCAGTCGCCGTGCGCTGTGCGGGTTCGAGTCCCGTCCCAGGAGAAATTTTTCTCTTGGCTACGGCTGTTGTGATTGTCCGTAGGTGGTAGATGGTCTCTGACTGTCGAACGCGGCGGTACCACCCGGCGGATCTCGTAGGCGGAGCCAGAATGTGTGCATGTTGCATGCACACGTGTTCCCTCGCCAGAGTCCGTGTGGCGTTCCCCTTTCCCATGTATCCCCCTATAGCCCCACGGTACCCAATGGGTGCTTAGGCCTTAGGCCTTCGTGGTAGTTCGAGTATAAAAAAAAATATTATCGACTTGGGTATGCAGTTTTGTCTTTTGACTACTTGATTTCCAATCATTTTTAATTTTGTTACAGTTTTTCCAAATATTTGACAGTGGATTTTTTATAGCCATACGATCACATATATTTGCTTGATATGAATCCAGCTCAAGCTCACTAATTATTGTGAACTTTTCGTGTAAAGTGAATGCTCGTCTCGCACTTTTCGACATGTTTATAACTCTAATAAATACAGTTAACACTGGCGCCCAAGTTCGAATGCAAACTGCGAAGTCAAACTTTCGTAAACGATTCCATCAGCTAAATCTGCTTCGGGGAACTACCAAAATAACTCGCATATAATGCGCGAGTCTATAATATCCGAGGATTTTACATGCAATTATTTTAAATTGTGTCCATTACATACAGGTTTCCATTATAATCAAGTTCATTATAAGTGGATTCCACTGTATATATATAGAGTATACTTTTTTTGGACTAAGACGTGATGAGAGAAATATGACCGAGTGCAAAAGATCGTAATTTAGCTACTTGTTTGCGCAACAACGATCACATGTACCGGTTTAGTGCGAGTGCCGCCTCTGAAGTAGCGTCGCAATATCAAAGATGGCAACACACGCAGATGAATACCTAGAAAAATTGCAAAATTCACATTCTGAATTCTGATATTCAGTAACAGTTGCGTAATAAGGCTGGTCAAGAAGCCCGCATCTTGACCAGTATGATGTTATGATTTTAACACTGCTGATCCATTAAATTTCATATACTTACTCAGCATCATTGCAGCTATGCTGACGCGGACTACCGATAGTGTCTTGGAGTCGACATAGCCGCCATGCTTGCCATATTTTCAAATAATAAATGCACTTGATCATCAGGGTCGTTTTGTGCGAACCGGATTTTTATAAATATTACCTGAATAATAGCCAGACCTATGCCAACGCCCTCGACATAAGATATGTTACTGTTGATGTAGTCTCCAAACACCTCCAAACATCCCTCTTTGTATGCATTGTACAATTTGCAATCGAAATGATCGCTCTGACCTGATGGAATAGGGCAGCATGAAATGGGCAACTGATGGTTGGTGCTGTTGGTAGAGCTGATCCAATCGGTGGCATTGACAACTCCGCAGCAGTGTAACTGGAAAAAAAAGAGTCATGCTGTAGACTGATTTAATATTTCCCATGTGTTAAGTAAACCCTATCCACTAGATGCGCGATGACAACGCCACTTAGCGGATGTCGGGCAGAAGGATTTTCCTTGACACGAACAATATAAAATAAACGGATGTCGACGAAAATATCAGATATTTAGTCGATTTGAGGTTAGAAACAACCTGAATTTCAAGTTGACAAATGATGATAGCGAAATATTTGCATCATTGCCAGGCCTCAGTTGACTCCACATAACACAAACGACTATGTTTCCATTTTTGTTCACCGAGTGCGCGGCGATCGATTTTAGTTCCCCCACTATGAACCTCGCTCTTGGCGAATACTTATAGTACATATAATGCACACGAATGATGCATACACCATATATGTGATTAAAAAAAGTGCCAGTATTTCTAGATGGGATAGTGCACCAAAAAATAGCATAAGCTCCCCTGTAAATATGTATGTGATGTTAAACATTTGTACGCCACTGATGATACTATAAGGTCAATATACGAGTATTTCTTAAATGCGTGTATTCACACCCATTTTTCTCCAAAAATCGTCAAGAGAAATAAGCTGTGTAAAATATAATACCTTGTTTAAAAATGCAATCAAAGTTTCGGAAAAGTCAGTGACGCAAAGATATTATCCTTTTTGTGGGAGTTAAAATGTCCTGATTTCTACGCCACTGCCGTAGTTGGAGCCGCAAAAATTTTTGTTTGTATTGCTTATGCTGTCAGCACCGTATGGATAAATTATTTTGTTCATAGTTTTGATATCTCCAACACACTGTATCCCGGTAAAGAATTTTAGAACCTTTTCGTGTTATTTTTGGCCTTACTTTCTGCTCTGAGATGGCAATTGGTTTTTCAATCGCCCACTGAATATCAACGCAATGACATTGCATTTATCACGCATTAGCCTCCAACTGGCATGTCAAACATATGTATCTGCACTGTCCGTAGCGAGCTTGGTAAATCTGCTTTCGAAATACATTATATACAAATTCTAAATCTCTAATGAACTTTTTTGAAGCTGCCGAAAGTGGGTGGTGAGTTCGATTTCCTTCTACCTCGAAAATGTTTGCGCCTTTAACTTCTTAAGTCCGGGAGTGATGAAAATTTGAAAAACGAATTCTGATATTTTTAGTTTTTTTCACTCATAAGATTTTTTTCACTCATAACCCTATAGCATTTTTTTTTTGTACACGAGGCACACAGGGCAGTGTCACTCTAGTCTCATTTAGGTTTTTTAATTAAAGCTGCTTTCTAATATCAGAATAAAGTTTACCCCCTTCCCCAACTAACGGAAGTACAGTTTGTATCAAAATCAAGTTCCGCCGCTCATGGTCAAACACAGACAACTACGATCAAGGTCAAAACAGTAGCATCCAAGTGATTATGCATTCCTCGAAGCTTTTATGATAATAACTGTCAACAATATAGTTCAGTCAACACTGGTACCTAAAATTAGGATAAGCTATTTTTCAAAATAATAGAGACTAGAAAATACTACTATGACCAACATATTTTCACTAATAATTGGCACTGGTAAACATCAAATTATGATTCAACTTCTAAAAAATAGGTAGCTGCATTCAAAAAGGACCGAAATACCTTTGAGCAAAGAAGTTCACGGATTTCTTTTTTTTTTGTCGTTTTTTGCTTATACAAATAACTAAGACACTAGTTCATAAATAAAAAAGCTTAGGGAAAACCCATAACCAAAGAGATAGACTAACTTAATAGAGTGGCATGTCTTCTAGTAAAGTACATATCACAAAACATAACAAAATGTAGTGAATTCTAAAATGTTCGTGATTACAATACCTCACTGATTTATCTTGGAAAGTATAAATCAGATAAACCATAAACTGTCGTAGAAAAAAGTTTACTTACGTAAGGGCCAACCTTTAGAGTCTGATAAATGAGGTGAAAGAATTTTAAACTTTTTAATAAAATATTCAGACTGGTATCTCTTATATAAATGAAAACCTAAAACTTGTCTCGAAATGGTTAGCATCTAACAGACTCAAATTAATACAAGTAAAACGAAAGCTATGTTAATCGGAAAAAACAATGTACAAATGTTCAACTGAATATTGATGGTGAAGATATTGAATTCATAGAAAACTTTAAATACCTTGGGATTTTTCTTGACTCTCGATTAATTTTTGATATTCATTATGAAAAAGTTATAAATAAGATTAGTAGTAAAGTGGGATATTTATCAAGAGTTTCTGGATGTCGGAGTTCATATAGCAGAAAAATTATCTATAATACCATCATTCTTCCAAATTCCTTGAACTGTTCGACTATTCTATATTTAGCAAATAATTCCATTTCTGAAAGACTGCAAATTTTACAAAACAAGTGCATGAGAATAATACTGAATAAAGATAAATATACTCCAATTAGGCAAATGTTTAGCAAATTAAAATGGCTCAATGTAAAAAATAACATATTTTCATCAAGTACAACTAATTCAACATCATCAAATTCCGACCATCATTTACATAATGCCAGAAATTAAGATGACTTCCATTTAATGACAAAAAAGTATCACATATGCTACAAATATGTATTCCATCAAGGGTTGATTGGATATAATAAATTATATAGAGAGATAAAAGACCAGAAAACTTTGACAAAATTTAAAGTAAAATTCATTCATCATATGGCTTGAATTTACTAATTCTAAGTTGTTTACAATTATTCTGTTGATGTAGCCAAATGTGCTAAATAAATCTTTCTACTACTAATACTACTACTAATTGTTCACGCACTATCCTCGTAGTGGTAGGCTCATATTTTGCCATAGGTATATTATATTAGCCATTTTAGGAAGAAAATATACCATAGCAAATCTTGTTGAAATTGTCGCAGTCCCTCGGAATATTAATGCAACAAGTTTTCAGTGTCGTCATGACAACAGTGATAATTTGCGCATTCGACATTAATCACCGATTTAAAAAATACGGAACCAGAACGGGAGCTATTTAATAGTAATTTGAGCATTTATGTGTAAACAATGTTGGTCCACCAGGTATAGGATTCAAGTGGGTGATGTCATGTTACCCGGGGTTTCACCGTCGGCAAACGATAGCAGGACGATGGGCGGAGGGAGACGCCGAGACGGGACGTTCGCAGTTGATCTTTGTCTGCCGTATTGCACGCTTGTTTCAGTTCCGAGCTAGCAGCCGTCACGAGCATACACTCGTGCGACTGCGACCCACCCGGACTTACAGTGCGATCCTACTGTGATTTTCATCACGGCACGATCGCCATCCACGATGGCGAGAATAGAAAAGCTGGCAAGCCAGCTAAAGGAGAAAGAGGAGAACTTCGCAATGCTTGCTGAGCAGATGAAAAATCTGCAGCAAGCATTCGAACAGGCGCGGGATGAGATCGATGAGGTGAAAAGGAAGCTCCTCAAAGCAAAGAGGAAAGCTAAGAAGACGGAGGAAGAAGAAGAAGAAGAGGACCACGGAGAGGAGGACCAGCAGCCTACGGAGAACTTGGACATGGATGCCCAAGATATCGACGTAGAAGAAGCGGAGAAGAGGACGGACGACACCGATTTCAGTGTCGCCACCAGACGGAGGAAGCGGGTGCGAGTTTCCTCCTCCGAAGAAGAAGAAGAACCCAGGCAGCGAAAGATGCCAGCTGCCACAAAGAAGAGTGGTCCTAGAGCAACCAGGATCACCGAGGCCCCCATGGCAGGAACAGGAGTTCCGCCAATCAACATCGAGGGCACCGCTGATTGGTCATCCTTGAGTAGGATGATGAACAGCAAGGGGATTCAATTCTCCAAAGCGAGGACGGCGGGTACCAGTGTGAAGGTATTCACAAATACACCAGCTGACTACCGTCAGCTAGTCGCACTGCTTGAATCCATCAAGCGGCCCTTCTTCACATATCAACTGAAGGAGGACAGGATGGACCAGAGGGTCATTCGTGGGCTTCCGAGAGAGATGTCAGTCAATGACATCAAAGAGGATCTGGTGAGCCAAGGCATCGCAGACGCCGTGGTTCAGCAGCTGACCTCAAGGACCACAAAGAAGCCACTTCCGCTCTTCCTCGTCAAGACGAAGATGCCGGAAAAGCTTGCAGAGATCCAGAGGCTGGCCATGCTCACGGTCAGCTTCGAGAGGAAGAAAAAGTCTTCCGAGCCCAGCCAGTGCTACCGCTGCCAGCGGTACGGGCACACACAGCGGAACTGCCGTCTCGCTGAACGGTGCGTTAAGTGTGGAGAGGACCACAACAGCACCAGCTGCAGTCTGCCAGCGCCGCCAACAGGGCAACGAAACGCCAAGTGTTGCCTCTGTGGAGAAGGCCACCCCGCCAACTACAAGGGATGTAGTAAGGCGCCGAAGAAAGCTGCTTCTGCCCCCAAAGCAGTCCCCACCACAAATAGGACTTCTTACGCCCAAAAAGTGAAGAAGCCTATGTCCACTTCTGCCCCAGCAGCCGCCACTGCTACTGGAACTACTGCGCAGAAGCAATTCGGCGATGACAGACTGCTAGCAATGATGCAAGCCATCATAACCCGCCTGGATGCACTCGAGGCCAAGATGCAAGACAAGCACTAGACCCGAAATGTCTACAGGTCAAAACGTAGAATCTCTACGCATTATCTCCTGGAACATCAACGGTTTCAGGGCACGGAAACCAGAAATCCAGGAGATACTAGACCAGTACCAACCAGAGGTGATGGCCATCCAAGAAACGAAGTTGGATGCTGCCCATAGTCTGACGTTCCCGCGGTACGAGACGTACCGCTACGACAGAAGGGGCAGAGGTGGAGGAGTCGCATTACTCGTCAAACGTACCTTGACGAGTCATGTCCTCGACGATGCCGCAGACATAAATGGGGACGGAATCACGGTCCAGGTCCATCACAACCACCGTCCCTACAGAATCACCTCCCTATATGTGCCACCAGGGGAGGCCCTAGACGAAGATGACATCGCTGACCTCCTGA